TTATTATTTATTTTACTTTATAATTTTTATACTTTATTATCTTATATAGTTATTATTTTTATTTTTATTTAATTAGTTTATTTTAGTTTTATTTATTTATTAATTTCATTTTTGTATTTATTTTTATCATTTAAAATTTATTTAATTGTAACTTTATTTAATTTTAGTTCACGCTAATACATTAAATTTTATCTTATTTTATTTTAATTTAATTTTTTCATTACTTTAAGTTAATTTAATTTATTGGAAGTTATTAGTATTATTATTAATAATTATTTAATTTATAGTAAATTGATATATTATCCTTTTATTTTATTTATTTACTTATTTTTAAACTATTTAATTCATTTTAGTATGATGTATAGATATATTTATGTTCAATAGATTACACATCCATCTATTTGGCCTAGTGGTTGAGCGGCCATTCCCTTTCTTTTCAACCTAGGTTTGAATCTTGTTGCCCACATTTCATACCATTTAGGTTTTGCACATAATTCAAGGGTAAAACAGTAATTTCCGCCACTTTGGGGTGAAAAAATGAAGAAAAAGCCGCACAGCACGCGCGTACATGCCACTTCTGTCATCTTAGACGGTTTAGGGTGTTTCGCGCATGCAAAACTACATTACAAAGGGGTCTGACGCAATTTGAAAAAGCCACACAGCACGCGCGTACATGCCACTTCCGTCATCTTAGACGGTTTAGAATGTTTCGCGCATGCAAAACTACATTACAAAGGGGTCTGACGCAATTTTTAAAATACAAGAGGAAAACGCACACATTTAATATAATTCAGGGAGATTTAGTGTATTAAACCCCGAATCAAGTGATGTACTGAATTTAGGTGGTGTGAATTTACGTGCAGTGCTTTTGGATGATGTAGTGGATTAATAATATTAATTATTAAATGAATGGATTAAAATTTATATAGAGGATCTAGCCAAATTCGATAACTAACTTATTTAGTTAAAAAATTATTGAATTAACATCTTTGGACATGATTTTTAATTTTTAAAAAATCTAGCGTTTTGAATCTATAAGATTCATAGAAAAAAAAAATGACAACAAAGGGTTTTTTAAGTTGTTATTTACCAAACGCTCGTTTAAAAAGTGCTAATACAATCTGTTAATCTCAGTTATCCATTCAGAATAATTAATGTTCCCTTTGCGTAAAATTAAACTGTTTTCAGAATAATTAATGCACCCACATGAATTTTGTTGATAAATTTCCCCTATCATCCAGAAAAAACCATTATAATTAAATAAAAAAAAATATGCTAATAAATATATAAAATACACACTTTTTCCGACCAATCAGGTAATTAATCATACGACATGTCTTCAAAAAACGTCTATTAAATATATTTTATTTTTAGAAAATATTATTTGAATATGCACGATAAGATTGCAAATATAATTACAAAATAAAATTTGAAAATCAATTATAAAAATTTTATTATGATATTTATTACAATGTTACAATTGAATCTTATTTATCGACATTAATAACAAATCACAGTGATTTCTTATTCTTTCGGTAGCCAACCATATACTAAAATATTTATCATTGTATCTTCGAAAAAAAACATTTAATCAAGAGAATTAGTTTAAAATCCTTTAATTTATATTTAACTCAACTGCTCCAGTTTTAGAAAAATTATACACCCAATTTTTCAAAATATCAAAAGAAATTTAACTATTTATCTTTAATAACAAGTCAATCTTTATTCTTACTAATAAATCATGCGTTCTACTGTTTTATTGAGTATCCAGTCATATGTAGATGTTAGACCGAAATATGCGTGAGAACATTGCAAAATATTAGTACAAAATAAATTTAGAAGTCAATTACAAAAATCTTATTTGTATAACTACCATTATATTATAATAGAATTGATATCACAACATTAATAACAAATTCCTATGATTTTCTATTCATTTTGTAACGAGCCTTGTACCAAAACTCATCTATTCAAAGAGTTTAAAAATATCCTTTGATTTTACTAATAACTGCACCAACCCAATTTTTTAAATTCATATTGTAATTCACAATACCATAACAAATCTCATATAAATTAAAAGATTAGAAAGAAAATTAAAATATTTATAATATTATAAGTTATAAGAAAAAATAAAATAATATTGATGTAAAATTTTTTAACTTCAAAATATAATATATTATTATTTTTTTAATTAAGTGATGGTTAAAATATGTCACAATTTTTCAACTTTAGCTAATTAAGTGTTGGTTATAATATGTCAAATTTTTTCAACTTTAGCCTAACTTATCTAAAAATCAAATTGGTATATTGTAACAAAGTACGAGTAAGGGAAGATAGAAGGAGAGAAGTATTTTGTGAGTATTATTTATTTATGATAATTGA